CAAAGCGTAATGAGTCATGCATGTTTATATTTGATCTGAATGCAACAGACGGATTGCATGTTTGATATATGTTATAGCTTGAATGCCACAAGTAGAATATGCATAAGGAAAACCTAACCTTCAAAGTTGCATGTGTAATTCATAAGTAATTGGTAAATCTACATAGGATTGTAAAGGGACGGCGAAACCCAAGACTTTCACAATTTGGTTTTCAAAACAGTTTTCCTTTGTTTTCTTTACTTTGCTAATTTCTTTAATCATTTTAATTAAATTCGTTTTTATTAATTTTAAATTTAAAATCAACCTTTTCCAATTTTTGTTTTCAAATAATTAATTAAGTTTTGGTATTTATATAAATTATTCATTCAATCCTTGTGAAATGACCTTATTTGAGCCGTTTATACTACAACTACCTTCTTCTCTTGCAAGTATTTTTTAGTGTTTTTATCTCTACTTTTGCTGGTGGTAAAAATCCTATCAATCACCTCAACCAATCTTAATTGCTACACCAAGACTCTTAATATAAGATTGACATAAAGGAAATCAAATCACAATATCTACATTAATATCTAACATTAAATTCCTATTATATATTGTAGATCAAAATGTCGTACTTTATATCATCTCAAGTTCACCTTATTGTAACACGCAAGTTACATTTTATGCTTCTTTGAAGCCTTTTAATCTGCCAATGCAGATATCCTTCGTATAATGAAACCATGATAACCTGCATGTGTGAATACATCTCCAAGACAATCATTCATCACTTTGGTTAGACCAAACAAGCATACAACCGATATTTGTGCCCAACGGACATAACTGAAAGTACCACAAGGCACATGTCCATGTAAAATATCTCAAAATTTCATAAAAAAAAATTAATTCAACTTCTGTGAGCAAGATGAGACTAATCTATGTAACCATATCAGTTACTTTCATGGTGATTTCCATTATCTGTGAGCAGATGGAAACCATCAAATGGATCAAATTAATTGGACATTAAAGCATTTGTGGAAAGGAAAAAAAAAAAAAAAAAAAAAAACCAGAAATCGAGTTCGAAAGAACCGAAAACAACTCTTTTTTTTTTTTTTTGTTGTGTGTGTTTGGTTTTGCAGGAGATTCTGCTGTTCAGACCAATCAAGGCCAGTGCCTCGTTTACATGAACTCTGGAACCAATCCATTTGAAGTCATCACCCAAGCTGTAAAGTAAGTTCTTAATTTTCATTTTTAATGACTTTCTTGTAATCCTTGTAAAACTGCGATTAAATATCTAGTTTTGTTTGCTAATACGGTTACGCTAATGCTAGAAAAAGGTTTATTTTGGTCTTGATTAGGGTAATGTCTTTAACTTTCTTGTTTTCATTGCACATGACTCCATATTTTTCAATTTCATTAACAGGGCTGTGGAAAAACACATGAAAACTTTTGTTCATCGCGAGAAGAAAAAGGTAAGGCCAGCACGTATTGTTTTCTTCTGTAATTGGTGTTCTGCAATTGGAATGACTTATCACGAACGTTTCTTGAATGAATCTAATTTTCGATCTTTTCGTTGCATGTAATTGCCTTCTTTTCTGGACTGGGTTGGCTGGTGTACATGGGATGCCTTTTACACCGATGTCACAGCTGAGGGTGTGGATCAAGGCCTTAAAAGGTAATAAGACATGTTATCGTTGATGATGGTTGGCAACAGATTGAAAATAAAGACAAGGATTCTGGTGTTGTTGTACAAGAAGGAGCACAGTAACGCCTCTTTCTTATTTCTCAATGTTAAATGATTACGCTTTAATCATTTTTCCTACCGTTCTCTTTCCATGTTCTGCGTGCATGATGGCATAGGATGCGTTTGGATCTTCCTTTGTCGTCTTCTTACGCGCAATCACTCATTGCTTTTTTCGCTCCAAACATTGCTGCTTGGTCTATCTAATTAAAGGAGCTGGTTAGTTAATGCGAGTATGTTAATTGCAGGTTTGCAAGTAGGTTGACAGGAATCAAAGAGAACGAAAAATTCCAAAAGAACGATGAGTCAATTTCATATTATATATTTTATCTTATTCTTAGTATATTTTGGTTAATATTTTGGAAGAATTTTGATACTTTGAATTGTATTTTCAATATAGAACTTTCGACTTCTTTTAGAGCAAAACATGATCAAATCGACGAATTTTGGAGTAATTCCAGTTAGAGGATATTTGTGAGTCACTTAACTTGATCATGTCAAAATTTAGACATTTTCTACCTAGTGATGATTTTCTGGAGATAAAATAAAAGAGCGATGTGAGGTGCTGGAATAGTGACGTTTTGGGCTTGAATTGCGTTTTTGGAGCCCAAGATGACATTAGATGGTTTCGTGGCCTACTGGAGATGTGTTTGGAACGTTCTAATCTTTAAAGCAAGTTATCTTGGGCCGGATTTGGAGGAGATTTGAGGTTAAAACGTGGCTGGACAGTTTCTGTGCAGATTCTCTTAGCTTAGTTAGGACTCTATTTTCTAAGTTATTTTATTTTATTATTTAGTTTCATAATTGGAGAAAAAGACTAGGGTTTGCGTGATAGCTAGAGGGGATTTTGAAGGCTTTTGCCATTCTTAGTTTTCTAGCTACGCTTTCTTTTATACAACTTTGGAGACGGAGAGTAATTGCTAGGGTTCTTTGATATTCTCTACTTTAAGGTGTGTTCATTCCTTTTATTCTTAATAATATTTTCTATGATTTTAATTATTAATATGCGTAACTAATTTTTTTTCTAGGGCGAAGCCTTGAGCCTTAACATGAATATGTAATTTTTATTTAATTGCTTATGATTGATTGCGTGCACACTTTGAATTATTAATCACCGTGATTAAAACTATCTAATTGTCTTAGTGCCTGATCACCATTAAGAACTTTAGAAAAGTAATTTGATGCAATTTTGGTTGGAAGATTCCTTGAAATTGACGCTGGCTTCTTGTGGTTAATAATTGTAATTTCACTTAAGATAAACACCACATTTTAAGGGTTACATGGTTTTTCAAGGGTTTTTCATAAAACTTAATGAGTCTCTCATGTTCATATTTGATCCGAACGTCCGGACGGATTGCATGTTAGATATACGTTCTATGTTGGAGGTAGTAGGATATATATTAGGAAAACCTAACCTTCAAGGTGACATTTGTAAATCATAAGTAATTGGTAAAAATGCATAGGATTGCTAGGTGATGGTGGAACCTAGTGCTTTTATAAATTAGTATTTTAAAAATTGTTTCTTTTTCTTTTAGCTTTAATATTGCATATTAGTTTCTTTTATTAATTAAATTCATTTTATTAAATTAGGTCATAAAAATCAATCATCTCAACTTTCTGCATTACAATAATTAATTGGAATTTGATTTGTTTCAATTTATTTAATAATTCTTGTGGAGAACAATCGTACAAAATCTGTTTCTACTACAATAAACTTGTCATTCTTGCAAGTTTTATAGGAGTTTTTAACCCTTTTGCATGTGTGTTAAAATCCCTATTAAGAAATTAGCGCCGCTGCCAGGGATTATTTAAAATAATTCGTTCTAATCAGATTTTCAGTTAGTTATTGCTGCATATACACATACATAAAAAAATAAAAAAAATTAATTTTCGTTTTTATTTTATTTTTAATATTACAACAGTACAGTAGTGCAGATTACAGAGACAATCTGTGCATGGCCAGCACCCATTCAGCAGGGCAGAAATTGGTTACATTTGCTCCAAAACCTGAGCAGATTTGAAGGAGGAGACGCAGGGAGCAAAAATTGCATTGGGTTCCTTCATTAAAGGGGACTTTTCTGGAACCTTTATTTTTTGGGGATCTGTACAATAAGGAAACAATGGCATTTATTACCCCATAAGCTGGTGACCCTTTGGGTGATTCTTTAACAGCTCATGCCACTAACATACTAAGTTGCATTACTTATCCGGAAGTAGAGGAAGGGTCTACATTTGAAATAAAGCATCACATGTTGAATATTCTACCTACATTTCATGGGTTATCGACCGATGATCCTAACATGCACATTGCAGAATTTTTAATGGGATGCAAGAATATTTTGGTGAGAGGATTTTTAGCTGAATCTATTAAGCTTCGTTTATTTCCATACACATTGAAGATCAAGCAGGGAGATGACTCCTCACACTTCCATCAGGAAGCATTAGTACTTGGGCCCAACTTAGTGAAATTTTTTAAACAAGTATTAACAAGTATTATCCAGCTTCAAAGACTCTTGATATGAGAACTCATATTTTATCTTTTGCTCAAAAGCCAAATGAAGAGTTTCATGAGGCGTGGGAATGGTTCAAATAGTTGATTAGAAAATGTCCACATTCCGGTATTAACAGTACTGATCAAATGCATATATTTTTCAGAGGGTTAAATATGACAACTAAAACTCTTGTCAACGCTTCATGTGGAGGTTCATACAAAGATAAAAATGCACAAGAGGCTTGTTTATTATTTGAAAAAATGGCAGCAAATACACAGTAATGGGCAGTAGAGCAACCACAAACTAGATTTGTTTTTTAGATGTTTAATGGTTCTTCATATGTGTCAGCACAAATTGAAAAAATGGAGAAAAAGCTTGAAAGATTTGATGCAAAATATGACATGTTATTACAACGAATTCCAGGTTCACAGATTGCTGTACAGCAGCCCTTACAAACTGCCTGTAGCATGACAACTCATGATTTTATGAGCTGTCCACATAAAGATGCTTTTCCAGAGTTTATGGAGGAATAGGTTAATGCATTCAATAATTTTCAGTGTCCTAGACATGACCCGTATTCAAATTTCTACAACCCGGGTTGGAGAGATCATCCTAATTTAAAGTAGGATAGAGATCAACATGCAAAGCCACAATTTCAATGGTAGGTACAGCAACCTGCTGCACCTAAGGCTACTTGGGAGATTGCAATTGGAAAATTAGCAACTACTACAAATGCAAGATTTGAACAGACTAATCAAGAAATCCAAAATATGCATGCAACAATGAAAAATATGGAACAACAAATTGGGCAGATTGTGTTGCAGGTTTCAGAAAGAACACCGGGTACATTTCCTAGTCAAACAGTACCTAATCCAAGAGGACGAGAAGAATGTAACGCTGTACGGACTTTACGGCCTGGCAAAAGTTATGAGAACAGACATGAAAATTGCGTTGGAAATTCGCGAGCAGCACCACATCCACAAACAGATTCGGGAAATTTTGCAAAATCTGATATTTCTGCAGATTCTGGGCAGCCAGTGACGTCCTCTGGTGTAGAGGGCAACCAACCAGACATAATTATGGACAGCTCAACTGTTCATGGTCTTGGTCTGGTACATCCGAAGAAAGTTTTCAATTTCTACAATGAGCTTCATTCCTACTTGGCTTCCTGTGAGTCGATGGAGTTAAGGTTGATGTTCAGAACATCATCCAGACTCTAGGGTTTGGTCATGGTGGAAGAGTTTCTCTGACCCGCAGCTACCACCAGGCACTTGAGGCTTCTGTTGCTCGAAATTTTGCTGACAACGAATGCATTTCTTGCGTGTGTCACAACACTGATGGGCTCTACAGTGCCAAGCAGACTGCTGTGGTCAGAGCCTCTAATGACTTCTACTCCCGAGATCCTACGTCGCACACGATTCACATATCTTCCGTTGCTTATAACACCCTGTTCCTTGGAGAATTCATGCAACCTGACTGGGATATGTTTCACGTAAGTAAAATAACGAAGCATAGTTTAAGCATAGGATTGAAACATCGTTATTTATGTATGTTCAAGATTTACAATTGCAATTTGTTTGATTTTTGTTTTCCTTTTCTGGATGATGATTTATGGAAACCTAATGAGGAGCCATTTCCTCGAAGGGCCTGAGTTTAGTGTCTAGTCATGTACGTGCTCATTAACTTACGGTTATATATCATGATATCCTTTGCATGACAAGCTCATCTGTGTCATTAAGAATACAAGCTCATCTGTGTATATCATGATATCCTTTGCAGAGTTTGCACCCAGCGGCAGAGTACCACGGTGCAGCCCGTGCTCTTGGCGGATGTGCAATCTATGTGAGGTAATTCTATGCATCAAACAAATTTATTCTATTGCCACTTCATGAGGTAGGAGTTCTAATGCATAAATTTGGTATTTCTGTGAATAGCGAAAAGCCAGGCAATCACAATTTTGACCTTCTAAGGAAGCTGGTTCTCCCTGATGGATCTGTCCTCCGTGCCAAGTTACCTGGCAGGCCTACACGTGATTGTCTCTTCGCTGATCCAGCAAGAGACAGGACAAGGTTTGTTCTATTTACTTCTCTTTATTCTTTTCCCAAGTTATGTTAAAATTGAGAGCCTCCATGAGTAAAGCTTGTGTGAATAATTCTCTTTGCAGCTTGCTCAAAATATGGAATGTCAAGAATCTCTCTGGTGTGGTTGGTGTGTTTAACTGTCAAGGTGCCGATTGGTGCAAGATTGAAAAGAAGACACGCATTCATGATTACTCTCCCGGTACCCTCAGTGGTTCTGTTCGTGCCGCTGATGTTGAGGCCATTGCTCAAGTTGCTGGTGCTGATTGGAATGGAGAAACAGTAGTTTATGCTCATAAGTCAGGTACCACTACTTTGTTTACAGAAGCTAGTTTGAAGGAACACTTTAGATTGCCATGGAAGCAGCAGAGTTTTCTAATAACGTGTCAATATGATAATGGCAAAGTTTTAAGAAGAAATCTATCTGCCTTTGTTATGAATCGTAACATTATTCTCATAGTATTCCTGCTCTTCAACTTTGTAACGATATGAAACGTTGATTGATTGTCAGGTGATGTTCTTCGGTTGCCAAAAGGTGCTTCAGTGCCTATGACTCTTAAAGTTCTTGACTATGAGGTTTTCCATTTCTGTCCTCTCAAGGTTAGTCTTGCTATCACCAACATTTATTTGAACGTGAAAGGTTCCAATCATTGCAAAGGATTTTACTAACTGATAATTTTGTATAACAACAATAACAAAGCCTTTTCCCACTAAGTGGGGTAACTGATAATTTTGTACTTTGCAGGAAATTACATCCGACCTCTCATTTGCACCAATAGGCCTACTTGACATGTTCAATTCAAGTGCTGCTGTGGAGCAGGTTGAAATCCAATTGGCTTCTGACAAGAAACCTGAGCTTTCTAATGGAGAAGTTAGCGAGAACCGATCCCCAACTGCAACAATTAGTCTCAAAACCAGAGGATGTGGAAGGTTTGGAGCATACTGTTCCCAGTGGCCGCTGAAGTGCACTGTTGACAACGCCAGGACCAACTTCGAGTATGACTCTGCATCTGGATTAACGACGATTACCATCCCGGTACCAGAAAAAGAGATGTACAGATGGTCAGTAGAGATCCAAGTGTAAGTGCTCTGATCTGATATGAAGAGTTTAGCTATTAGGACATTGTCTTGCATGTGAAGAGATGATGATGTGTGGTTAAGCAAGATGGATTGAGAGACTCAAGTGCCTGGGAAGTAACTAGATTATCCAATAATGTTGTAGTTTTCCAGTTTCATAAGTTATATTGCTAAGAAAGAGTGGCCAATGTTGTAGTCTTCTGGTTTCTCTTTATTAATAAAAGTGCCTATCTTTCCTACTTATATCGTGTTTCCTTCTTTATGTTTTCTTGGGAGACAATCGATGCAGTTGTAGATTGGTTAAGTGTTCATCTTTGCACTCGAGGTTTTGAAATCAATACATCTTTCTCCGGATCATTACTTTTGGATGTGTAGGATAATAAGATATAGGTGAGAGTGCGTGAACCGGTGGCTCAATACATGGTTCACGTGTTTGGTCATTTAAGCTTTACACTTGAACAAGGCACGTGGGTCATGAATGTATCAAAATTCTCTCAAAATATCAAGTAAATTATAATAAGATTGGAGTAAAAAAATATAGATTAATATCGATTGATCATCTAGCTTATGGAGGCTGTGGGATTTATGGATTTGATCACGTCTGGTGATAAAAATAGTCTTCAACGTCTACTACGAGATTAAGAGATTGGATACTCCCTTGTGACTTGACCAAGTCTCGAGCCTGCAGAGTATTTGAAGGATTAATCTCAACAAGAACTCATTGACTTTGAGTGAGATAAGCGATTTGTTAGATCAGTTGGGTCCACGGTGTGGTCGGTACAGAAAACCAGATGGAGGAGTTCTTTTTCCAGCTTCTGACTGAGTTACTGCATCATATTTGGGATTAGTTCATTCCCTTTCCAGCTGCATTTTCCTTTCTCTTTGGTGCTTTTGAGAATTGGATTTCGCCTTAAAAATTGTATAGAGCATTACATCTTTAACTTGAATGACAAGTAACAAAGTTTTCACTTTGCGTAAGTCTTTGGGGCTTGAAAATCAAGAAGTTGAATATTGTTTAGTAATATTCACCAACCGTCGGAATTACTAGATCGGAGAATACCGCTTCTAAAAAACTTGAGTTTCCAAGAAACAAATAAGTAAGCAAAATAGTCATGTAAGGTTGATTGGAAGTGTGACTGATAAGGAAGGAGTTTGATGTATAAAAGGTTGATTAAATTGGAGTAACATTACAATAAATCAAACATGTTTTAATCTACTGAAATATAAATCAACTTGTGCCCCCCAACACAATTTACATTGGCTGGAACAAACTACAAGCAACTCTGAAACTAAGACAAACATAGGCATACGGCATTGAAGACAGCAGTCATGTTTCATTTCACATCTCAAAAGAAACATTTGGAAGATGAGAAATCTTTGGCCAATCTTCTCACGTGTTGCGATGGCATCTCCTCTTCAAATCATGACACTTTTTGATCCTAACTTCTGTTAAGGCAGTGAGGCGGTGCATCTCCTCTGGCAAAGACAACAATTTGGGACATGATACGAGGATAAGCCTTCTAAGCGATGTGAAACTCATCAACCACCCAGGTAATGCCTCCAAATTCTCACAATTCCTAATGACCAAGTCTTGTAGTGTGTTTGTGGCTCCTTGAAACCATTCAGGCAATGCCACCATTCGTGGTACCCCTTTAATCCCCAATTTTTTGAGCTTTAGTGGAATTACTTGATAGTTTTCCATCACTAAATCAAGTTGTTTACAATTACCTATCGTCAGAGTGTGTAATGACGCAAGATAACTCGTATCACGCGGCAAACACGTTAGATTACTACACCGCATAATAACAAGATATCGAAGTGACTTCAAGCCTCCCACTCCATTATCTAGAAAACTTGATTGCTTTGTGGTAAAATCAAGGTATCTAAGGCTGATCAACTTGCTCATGCCTCTAGGCAACTCTTCAAGATTCACACATCCACCGAGATTCAGAGTTTTCAAGGTCTGCAACTTACAAATTGAATTGGGTACTTTGGTGATTCCTTCATTTCCATAGAAGCTTAGGGTTCTCAAATGCTTCAAAGAACCAATGGAACTCGGCAACAATTCCAAAGATGCATTGGCTAACTTAATCACTCGCAGATATCTGAATCTTGAAATGCAAGTGCGGAGGAAGGATTCATCAATATTTTCACATCTCCTTGCTGTTATAGTCCGCACTTTGTTCATCTTTTGCAAGGTCATTGAAACATTTTGGCCAACTTCCAAAACTGAGAGATGTCTAACATTTCCAGTGAGGCCTTTGGTGCCTGCAGAGCCTACCATAAAACTCTCATCTTGTGCGACTGATTGTACAAGGTCATGGATGAGATCATGCATCTGAAATTTATAGTAGAAAATGTAATCCTTAACATTTTGAAAGAAAGATCTCTCCCATAACGCTTTGAAATACAGCTCACCAACATCTTCCAACTCCTCATCCGCAAGCAACTCCATATTCGCATGATCACGATATTCAAGAACTCCAAGTGCCATCCAATTATTTATCAATTCTCTACTATCAAATTTAACATATTTCTTCTGGAGAATTGAACAGCAAGCAAGGCACTGCTTCAAATGATACGGCAATTGTGTATAGCTCAGTCTCAAAGCAGGTAGAAGTTGACCAGCTCCCTCTTGTTCTAATTCCCATATCTCAGAATCTCTAATCAATTTCCATTGACCCTCATCAGTCTTTGAGTAAAGTTGACTACCTAAGGTTTTCACAGCTAAGGGAACCCCTCCGCACTTTCTTACAATATCTTTTCCCATTTCATAAAGGCGTGGATGCTGTCTTTCTTGTCCTTCTTTAAATGCACACTTTACAAACAAAGACAAACAATCCTCAAAAGAGAGAACATCTAAATTTATGTTTCCAACTGTCCCCATGATTGAAGCAACTGAGATATTCCGTGTTGTCACCAAAATCTTAGTTCCTACCTTGGCCCCTTCTACCAACAAATCTCTCAACTCGCTCCATTTGATACGATCTTCATTCCACACATCATCCAAGACAAGCAGAAATTTCTTATCCTTTAAAGCGTCTCGTAGTCGTTCTTGCAGCTGATCCAAAGACAACCTTTCACTGATCTCTGTACCTAATGCAGAGCCAAGGATCTCTTTTGCCAATCTAGTGATATCAAAGTCCACTGACACATTCAACCACATTCGTAATTCAAAACTCCCAACAACTTTCTCATTATTGGACACCAACTTGGCAAGCGTGGTCTTCCCTAAACCTGGTAATCCAACTATAGGAATAACAAATACGTTCCCGTTATCCCCACCTTGATGATCATCGCCTTGTACCATTAGAAGATCAACAACTTCATTTTTTTCTGTTTCTCTACCAATAACCTCCGAAGCACGGACAAAGGAGTGGGTCGTATTCCTATTCTCCCTCACATGATCACCGAGATCAACAGTGCGAAGATCAGCAAAATTCTTATCATCTTTAAGCTCATGTAACCTTTCTCTTATGTCCTTAATTCCATGACCTACTCTCAAGTGGAATGCAACTGGATTAGAGCGGGAAAAGAAACGGCGTACCTTCTAGTTGTGCCACTGCCACGAACCACTTGCCTTCGCAAAGCTTCGCACTCAAACTCGTCCAACAGATCCTCCGCATCAAGGAACACATCTTTAAGTTCTCGTAGCCAACTGTGTAGGTCATTGTTACGTGCTTGCTTCTCTTCGGCATCCAATAGCACGTCTTTGATTGTGGACATTGTGCGTCGAAGCTTTTGCAGATCCGCTTTAATGCCCCACGCCAAGCAAATCTCCTCAGAAGCAATGGAGCTGAGCCTTTCAATGAGTTTGGCTGCCAACGGAAATGCAAGCACGGTCATCTTCTTTCTTTTTTTCTTTCTTTCTTGATGAGGTGAGTGCAGGGGGAACGGAGATGGTATGAATAATGATGGGTATAAAAGCATGGATTGTAAGTAGTCAATGGTGGGTCTAATGCCCCAGCACCAGCTGGTTTCTCATCTGAAGAAATTATGAGTTGTCCAAGCACATTACGAGTTCACCTAACGTCTTTGACAATGCAGCGTCCATGTCCCTCACTTTAGACATAATTTTGTTGGAAATTTATGTTATAATATTTGTTAACTGTTATAATATTTAATTTAAAATATGAGTTGTCCAAGTAGGATTTGGATCCTCTCATGAGCTCAGGGGGCTAAACCTCCTGAGCAAAACACACTGGTTGTTGAATTTTAATTCAACGGCTACAAACAGAGGATCTCTCTAAAAATTATAATAATTGTAACCATTTGATCAAAATCCAACGATCCATGTGATTTGCACTGAGCTCAGGAGAGAGGATCCAAATCCGTCCAAGCACATTACGAGTTCACCTAACTTCTTTGACAATGCAGCATCCTTGTCCCTCACTTTAGACGTATTTTTGTTGGAAATTTATGTTGTAATATTTGTTAACTATTATAATATCCATGTGGCAGTACCATTATGCAAAAGACTTGTAATGATGTACTAGCCTTCATGCACACAAGTGTAGAAGACATTTAAATTACGGCGTGTTATTTGTGACTTATACGTTTTAAATGTATTTAGTGTAAATTGACAAAAGAAAAGTCAAATATTTGAAGTAAATGAATAATCTTGGATCATGCTAAAAGAAAGCCCTCATAAACTAATTAAAGTAGCTGAATTCAAATAATAAAATCGGTTTCTATAGAATTTACATTAAAAATAGAGAAAATAATATTTAATAAACAATTGATTGAATCACATTATTACTAGCCCATTGTGAGGCTAAGCCCACCATTCTCTTCCTTAGTGTAGATAATATCGTTTTGTTAAAACAAAACAAACAATCATTTGACAACTAATTTAATCACATTATTATTCACGTGCAAAAGACCTTTTTTTTATAACCGACATTACACGTCTCTTAAAATGTTTTAAACGTGTTTAAAAGTAAAGAAAATAATATTTAATAAACAACTGATTGAATCACATTATTGCTAGCCCATTATGAGGCTGAGCCCACCCCTCCCCCCTAGTGTAGATAATATCGTTTGTTAAACCAAAAAAACATTTGACAACTAATTTAATCATATTATTATCCACGTGCGAAAGACTTTTTTTATAACCAGCATTAAACTCATCTTAAGATGTTTTGAACGTGTTTAAAATAGAGAAATTGAATCACATTATTGCTAGCCTATTGTGAGGCACTAATTAAAAAAAAAAGCACAAAAAAATTAATTATTAAAAAAAGCACTGTTCAAATGACAAAAATGCCTCTGTCTTATTTGATGCATCATTTTGAGATCCTTTGAAGTTTTTTGTCTTGGGGGCATTTTTGTCCAAATATTTTTGTTGAAGCTTGGTGACACCAAAAATACTATTCACCTTCTCCCTTTTAGTGTAGATAATATCATTTGCTAAAAAAAAAAAAAACAATCATTTGACAACTAATTTAATCACATTATTATCCGCATGTGAAAGATTTTTTTTATAACCGGCATTACATGCCTCTTAAGATATTTTAAATATGTTTAAAATAGAGAAAATAATATTTAATAAACAACTAATTGAATCACATTATTGTTAGCCTATTGTAAAGCTAAGCCTACCCCCTCTCCCTTAGTGTAAATAATATCGTTTGTTAAAAAAAAAAAAAAATTCATTAGACAACTAATTTAATCACATTATTATCTGCGTGCGAAAAACTTTCTTTTATAATTGGCATTACACATTTCTTAAGATATTTTGAACGTGTTTAAAAATAGAGGAATTGAATCACATTATTGCTAGCATATTGTGAGGTACTAATTAAAAAAAAAAAAAACCAACCACAAAAAAAGCAAAAGACCTTTTTTATAACCGCCATTACACGCCTCTTAAGATGTTTTGGATGTGTTTAAAAATAGAAAAAATAATATTTAATAAACAACTGATTGAATCACATTATTACCAGCTTATTGTGAGGTTAAGCCAACCTCCTCCCTTTTAGTGTAGATAATATCGTTTGTTAAAAAAGTGAAAACAATCATTTGACAACTAATTTAATGTAATTTAATCATATTATTATCCGCATGCGAAAGCCTTTTTTATAACAGACATTACGTGCCTCTTAAGATATTTTGAACGTGTTTAAAAATAGAGAAAATAATATTTAATAAACAATTGATTGAATCACATTATTGTTAGCCCATTGTGAGGCTAAACCCATCCTCTCTCCCTTAGTGTAGATAATATTGTTTGTTAAAAAAACAAAAAAACAATCATTTGACAACTAATTTAATCACATTATTATCCGCGTACGAAAGACTTTTTTTATAACCGGCATTACACGTCTTTTAACATGTTTAAAATAGAGAAAATAATATTTAATAAATAACTAATTGAATCACATTATTGCTAACCCATTGTGAGGCTAAACACACCCCCTCCCTTAGTGTAGATAATATTGTTTGTTAAAAAAAAATACAATAATTTGACAACTAATTTAATCACATTATTATCCGCGTGTGAATGACCTTTTTTATAACATGCATTACACGCCTCTTAAGATGTTTTGAACGTGTTTAAAATAGAGAAAATAATATTTAATAACTAACTGATTGAATCACATTATTGTTAGCCCATTGTGAGGCTAAGCCCACCTACTCTTAGTGTAGATAATATTGTTTTAAAAAAAAAACAATAATTTGACAAGTAATTTAATCACATTATTATCCACGTGTGAATGACCTTTTTTATAACCGGCATTACACGCCTCTTAAGATGTTTTGAATGTGTTTTAAAATAGAGAAATTGAATCACATTATTGCTAACTTATTGTAAGGTACTAATTAAAAAAAATAAAAAATAAAAACAAACCACAAACCACAACCCACAAAAAAAATTAATTATTAAAAAAATACTATTAAAATGATGAAAATGTCACTGTCTTATTTGATGCATTATTTTGAGATGCCTTTGAAGTTTTTTGTCTTAGGGGTATTTTTGTCTAAATATTTTTATTGAAGCTTGGTGACATCAAAATTACTACTCACTTTTTCAATGACTTTATATGTAGAAGATCAATTAGATGAAAAGATAGCATCACTTTATGAACAACCACCTCAGACATTCCTAGATGTCACTTGGGTTCTTTATTACCCATAATCACAGCCGCGTAAAAGAAGTATGAGATAGCGAGTTAACTAGAACGTAATGGACGAGTATTCATGTGCACTTTATGTTCTTTCTTTGTTGTTTAAGTTTGAGTTGTGACTTGAGAGTATGAAATATATTAGGTTCGCTGGAGTCTGAAGATTGAAGTGCTTTGAATTCGGATTATAGATTGTTAAATCATGGGAGACGGACGCCTACCAAACTACAAGCACAAGAGTAAGGGCAAAATTCTGTCTTTAGGACATTGCATTTATGCAAGCCTCAATCTCTAAGTTTGTTAGTTTTTCTAACTTTCTCTCTAGTTGTTTATATAATCTTGTATACAATTGATGTTATAATTTTCATTATGATTATTATCATTGAAATTTTTGTATTATTTTCATATTTTCTAATACTGCTATAACAATTTTGACACACACATTAGACATATATTCTGACACTCATTTTATACGGTCCAATTCGTATTGTATTTCAGCCATCCGAACCATCTATATTTTAGTATATCATTCATAGATCGCTCTTACTAAAAAATGAGACAAATCCTAAATTATAAGGACATTCATTTGTAGTGAAGAAAATAGACGAATAAGATTTTACTAAGAAACACTAAATATAATCCGAAAATCATATGGTATCGGATTTGGGTGATTTTGGTAGACCTGATATTTGAGGTATGATGAATGCGTATTTTAATATCTATTTTATCCCAAAAACTTGACCAAGTCTCGAGCCTGCAGAGTATTTGAAGGATTAATCTCAACAAGAACTCATTGACTTTGAGTGATGTAAGCCATTTGTTAGAGGGAGTTCTTTTTCCGGCTTCCGACTGAGTTACTGCATCACATTTGGGATTAGTTCATTCCCCTTCCAGCTGCATTTTCCTTTCTCTTTGGTGCTTCTGAGAATTGGATTTCGCCTTAAAATTGTAGAGCATTACATCATTAACTTGAATGACAAATAACAAAGTTTTCACTCTGCGTAAGTCTTCGGGGCTTGAAATCAAGAAGTTGATTATTGTTTAGTAAAAATTTTATTTTATTTTGTTATGAGATGGGTCAAAATTTGACTTAGCGGGCAACCTTTCTTCTATTTAAATGCTGAATTCGTCTCATAGTTTTACCTAGTTTGATGACGCTGAAATCTCGGACTGTCAGAATTACTAGATCGGAGAATACCGCTTCTAAAAGACTTGAGTTTTCAAGAAACAAATAAGCAAGTAAAATAGTCAAGTAAGGTTGATTCAAAGTGTGACTGATAAGGAAGGAGTTTGATGTAAATACGGTTGATTATAAATCAAACATGTTTTAATCTACTGAAATATATATCAACTTGTGCCCCCACCACAATTTACGTTGGCCGGAACAAACTACAAGCAACTCAGAAACTAAGACAAACAGAGGTAGGGGGCGTTGAATAAACTATGACAAACCAATACAATTTCATATTTATAATCTAATATTACAATTCCTTGTTTATAAAAAAGAATAAATTATGTGACCTATATAATTCGTCACGTATGAAATAGATAAGTGACGCTGAAAGCGTCACATTTTTCTTCCATTTGTGGCATAGCCTGGGTCACTTATGTCAAAATAAAATATCTATTTTGGAAATATATGTGACAAACCAATACATATTCCCTGTTTATAATCTAATATTACAATTCATTGTTTATAAAAAAGAGTAAAT